GTCGATAGAGCATCAGCCTGCGGGCTGGTTTCCAGGTTCGATTCTGGTCAAGGGCACATGCCTTCATTGTAGGCCACGTCCTCAGTGGGGGACGTGCAGGAGGCAGCTGATCGATGTTTCTCTCTCATCGATGTTTCTGACTCTCCATCTCTCTCTCTTTCTCTCTGTAAAAAATCAATAAAATATATTTTAAAAAAAAATTGTGCACCTATGGATGAGGACAGTGGGGGTGGTAAGGGCAGGGGGTGGGGTGGGAACTGGGTGGAGGGGGGCTATGGGGGGAAAGAAAGAGGAACAAATGTAATAATCTGAACAATAAAGATTTAATAAAAATAAAAATAAATAAAAAATTTTAAACTAGCTACAAGAAGGAAATAAATCCAGCTATTTTTCATGAATAACTAACCTCGACTTAATTATATGTTGATTCAGCTCAGCTCCCACATTTAGAACAAGTTTTAACTAGGAAGGTAGCATACTATAATAGTCAAATACCAGCAAAGTAACAGGCAAGACAATACAACATAGCTTATACGTTACTGTAAAGAGATCCACTGTTTGTCACCCAATCAAGGATCTCACTTATACCAACTTCCTCTCTTATCTCTCCCCTGACACTATATTCTCATTACCCTATTTCCTTAGTTTATAGCAAAATTCCTCAAAAAAAAATCTACATTCACAATTTTCATTTCACCATCAGATTCTTTCTTGAATCCACACCAATCATGCTTTTATTCCCATCACTCCACAAAAATTGCTTTTTTTTTGAGATAGAGAAAAACATCAGTGAGAGAGAAATATCTATCAGCTGCCTCCTGCACGCTCTTTTACTGGGGGGATCAAGCCCACAACCCAGGCATGTGCTGGTTGGGAATCGAACTAGTTACCTCTCGGTTCATAGGTCAACGCTCAATACTGAGCCACACTGTCCGGGCCACAAATATTGTTCTTATCAAGGTAACCAGCAATGTCCACACTGAAAAATCCAATGATCAAATCTGAATCCTTATCTTATTTGACCAATTGGCAGAATCTGATACAGTTGATCCTTTATCTTCCCTGACACATTTTTCATCCTATTGCCTCCCAGAAACAGCACTCACCCTTGGTTCTCCTCCTAGCCATTTCACTTGGAATAAAAACCAAAGTTTTTATGATAGTCTACAAAGCTTCTCCATGATCTAGTCCCTGCTGCCTGGCATCCACTACCTTTTCAGCCTCTCCAGCTACACTGGCCTTCTTGCTTTTTCTCAAGTAAACTAAGCATATCCTGCTTTAGAACCTTTGTGCTTGCTGTTCCCCATCCTGAAACCCTCTTTTCCTGGCTATCTTGTAACTTCTCTCTCAGGGAAACCTATTCTTACTATCATATAAAAACTAGCAACTCCCTGCCCACATGTGACTCTCAATCTTCTTTTCTGCTTTTTCTTCTTAGCACCTGACACTGAATATAATCATTTGTTTTCTGTCCATCTTCCCTGGACACTAAAATGTAAGCACTATGAGAGAAGTGATTTTGACTTATTCAAAAAGCATCATGAAGAAGAGTGCTTGGCATTTAGCCTGGTACATATTTGCTGAATGACTAAATAAATAATTACAAGTCATTATGCTAAAAGTTTTATAAAGATTAGCTCATTTAATCATCAAAAAAAGAATATGGAATTACAATTATTATTCCAATTATACTAATGAGACAAAGGCACAAGAGATTAAATAACTTGTATGTCACAAAGCTTTCCTGTATCTATCAAATGAGATCGAGTTAGAACATACAAATGGAGTACTTGACAAAATGTTTGGCACATAAAATACCTAACATTTCTGGAATACTTATTACATGCCAAACATTAATGTAGGCTCTTTATGTATATTTAATCATTTAATTCTCCTACTGTTTAATGAATGGTTGCTATTATTATTTTCACTATTTATTATTTATCAGGGTACCAACCTTAACTCAATAGAAGTCATAAAAGATGCTGCTGTGAGAAGAAACTCCACAAACTCCAACTTTTACTCTTCTCAGAAAAATGTTAACATGTGCTTAAAAAACAATGTGTTTTCAATATTAGCACTGGAAACCAAATCAAAATTAACTGAATTCATATCATACACAGACACATCATTAACTGCATATCTGCTGTCAGTTCTTTTAAAAAGCCCTCTAACATTCAAAGACAAAAGAGTCACAGATTTCCATTATAAAAAAACCTACCCCTCCAACAAAACTTTGGTTGCTATTCCATATTGCACTGTATTACGGTTAAAGCATATTTTTCATTATAAGTTAAAAATTATCTTGATTAAAGTAGATCTTTTTAATGTTTAAAATAGAACTTATTCATTTATACTAATTAATACCAAAATCTCCAAGTTTACCTAATGTAAACAGCCCATCTGTTTTAAAAAGCAGTTTTATTACCAAACATAAATTTTGAAATTACTGCATCTGAGAAAATAAAGTAGCCAATTTCCTTTACCCTTCAGTTAAAGTGAAAACCACGGGAATCATGAAATTTACTGAATATAATTTTGTCAGCTCAATATGTCTTTTGGGTTTTAGTTTATAGCTCAACCTGCAGATACTCATTCTTTATTAACAATTAACATATAAAATATTCTGGGTAAAGACCCTTAAAACTTACGGTGCAATTATGGCTCTAGCAGGTCTTTTTGTAGACTGTACTTGTGAAAGCCAACCTTCCAGCTGTGCATTCAGCTGCGGTCCTATATAAAGAGAAAGGGAAACTGGAGTCAGCAAAGCAATGTACTGCAGACAATCACACAAGACACAAAACCCTCATTAAACCTATAGGGCCTAAAATAGTTTAATGGGCAGTGGGATCATCAGTTTGGATGTTAATATTTGCAACTGAACCAGCTACATACAACGTCTCTAGCAAGCAATCTGGTAAGCTCACATACTGATTAAACCAAACTTGCTTTTATCCATCTGCTTATTTATTTACAACAGTCTTCATTCCAGAACAATATGCTCTACAATTTGAGGGATTATTTAAACAAAATAAAGGAAGAAACAGAAAACAGTATATGAAAGAAAATAATTGAGTAAATATTTTTTAGAACACCAAAACATAAAAAATGTTTATTTTTTCCTTTGGATAAAGCCAATTAGCTAAAGACAATATATATAATCACCCCAACAACCAAGTGAATTTAGTTTAAACCATGTGTGACAAATGTTGCCATCAGTCTTCTTACTTGAGCGCTATTATAGTTTCTCATGAGAGTGTGTATGTAACTACATAAAGGGTGAATTCTCTGTAGGTCTTTGCAATCTCTTAGCAGATTGCCCGTGATATGCATCACATTCTAGATTAATGTTTCTTCAAACATTAAATTATTTTCTTTCTCTTCTACCTTTGAAGAGAGGTTTTCTGAGATGGCAGGAGGCTTTGGCTTAAATTATATTTCTCCAACATCAGCAATAGTTAAAAATTCCCATTTCTCTATATCCTTATCAATATTAGATATTCTCAGAATGTTTAATTTTGTCAATTTGATGGATAAGAAATAGTATCCCTTTGTTTCTGTTAATTCTTATTTTTAAAATATCCATTGAGATTAATTGTGTAGTGATTTGGAAATCCTTCTGTATATATTCATGAACAAGTCAAGTTTATGACAACCAATTTACTCTGTAAATTGCCAGAATACAAAAAAAGTCTGACTCCGCAATCAAACAATGTAGTTTATTTTTAAAACTTAAATTTAAGAACAATCACACAAAAAACTTATATGAAATAATCCCATTAACTCAAGGAAAAATAGTAAAGTTTTGGCTGCCTAATCAATTTCATATTAACTTAAAATAAGTATTGCTCTAAATATTTCCATATTACAGGAAGTTTGTGAAACAGAAGTTGAAAATCTTTAAGAGCAAAGAAAATATCTTCCAATTCAGACACTCTACTGACACCAACTTCAGTTACTTTAAGCACTAAACCAAGCTTTCTTATCATTTCTTCTGGAAAAGGACCAATTTCTACAGAGGGATCTTAAAATTAAAGCCCAACTCCAATTTATTATGTATACTAGAGGCCTGGTACACAAATTCGTGCATGGGTGGGGTCCAGCCAGCCCACCCAATTGGGGTGGTGGTGGGGCCAATCAGGGGCAGCAAGAGAGACATACATGGTTAGGGGAGGAGCCTTCCAGTGTTGCTCAAATTATTCCACGCATATAAGGTAAAGAATGACCAAAAAAAACTTTTTACCATTCGTTTTTTAAGTGGTTATCTGCCTATTAGCACAGTAAACTTAATTCCACAGGACTGGTTAAAGCAAAGTAAAAAAACACAAAGCAGAAGTAAAAAATATAAATCCAAACAAAACAGGCTGTCAGCACCTAGTATTTTGTTATTAACCATTCTGTGAAATCTGTTTAAACCAAAAAATAAACTCGAACCTGTTGTGAGAAATATACAAACACTAAGATTAATATGCTAGATGTCATATAACATTGGCTCATGGATCTCTGAATTTCACAGGCCAAAAAAATTTCAAGATAAATTTGGAACACCAATTTTTTATTTTACTAAGAATGGACATTTAAAACACACCAACCATTTATCTACAATCACCATTAACTTACAAAACAAATATAACACCAAATAGTAAGAGCACAATTTTAAGATAATCTCAATCCCTTAAACTGAGTAAATTCACCACATTTCATTGACTCCAAAATACCATTAATATTAAGGTGCACATTATTATACGTACTACAAAAAAACAAAACCTCCCAATTAAACTAGGACTTACATTTTTTCATTGCTTACATCTTTTTATTTTACAACTAGTGGCCCAGTGCACAATTCGTGCACATTGGAAGGAAATTAATTAGAAGAAATATTTTAATATCACTATTCGCCCTTTCTATATATAATAGAAGTGTCAACCAAATTCACGATCGACAATGACAGATCAAAACACACACCTGCGATTGGTGCCAGTGAGAGCTTTATAGGTATTGCACTTGTGCAATTCAACTTCGCCTTTTTTTCTGGCTAATGAAAAGAAAATAGGATTCCACTGAGTCTCCTATCTACCTACTCCAGGACTTCTGTGAGAATCAAATGAGATGAGGCATGGGAAAACACTTCACAGACATTTGGTTAAAATGTGAAATGCTTGCACCTGGCTATAAAGCAAGTCATGTTCCTGGACTAAAAAAACTGCAAGGAAGCTAGTCGTTGCTAAGGAGAGGAAGCTGAGCATTGCTACATGACATCATTATCTGGCGCCCACAGCCCACAGCGACCATTTCCGGGCTGGGCTGGGCTGTGGGCCACATTTTGCGCCATGGCAGCGTCGGCTGCAATATGGTGGGCTATCGGGTGGTGGCAGGGCCTATGTCCCACTTGGGGGAAGCTGAGTATTGCTTTGTGGGTGCCAGGTCCGTGATACCAGCGCAAGTCACGGCAGCTCCTGTGTTGAGCACCTGGCCCCCCGGTGGTCAGTGCACATCATAGCAACCAGTGGGACAGTTGGGCACTTATCATATTAGCCTTTTATATAAATACTAAAGGCCCGGCACATGAAAATTTGTGCACTGGGGGGTGGGGGCCCCCTCAGCCCAGCCTGCCCCCTCACAGTCCGGGCGCCCTCAGGGGATGTCCTACTGATGGCTTAGGTCCGCTCCCCAGAGGGAGCGAGCCTAAGCTGCAGTCTGGCCTCCCACTGCGGGACGTGACTGGCCAATCATGGGAAGGAACCGCCCCGATCACCCCCTCACTATTGCTGCCTCTGGCCTCCCTCTGCAGGAGGCGACCTGGCGAATCAAGGGAAGGTGACTCCCCCATCACGCTGCTACTGCTGCCACTGCCGGCTGCCACGGCTGCCTGAGCCTCGGCCCGGCCCTTGCAGCAGCAGCCACTGCCACCATCCACGGCTTGCCTGAGCCTTGGCCTGGCCCTTGCAGCAGCAGCTGCCATCCACACCCTGCCTGAGCCTTCGCCCGGCCCTCACAGCAGCAGCCACCTCCATCCACGGCTTGCCTTAACCTCAGCCCAGCCCTCGCAGCGGAGGCTCAGGCAGCTGCTGCGGCTTTGTCTGGAAGGACGTCCAGAAGATTTCTGGTCTGGTTAGCATATTACCCTTTTATTAGTATAGATTATTCGAAAAGCTCTTTTAAACTTATTTAGACATGATTTTTCATATAGCACTCTTGTGTTTAATTTTTTTAAGTCAGAGTCATCAGTAATCCTTGTTTTTCCATATTATCACCCTCTGTGCCATTTAAAGAATTAGTGATGCAATTATTTCTTTTAAAAGTGTTCCTCTATTGCCTCTGGGACTGTTACCTAAGCAACCAATACACACTGTCTAAGTCTCGATGCCATACCTTTTTTGATCTTACCAAAAGTTATCTCTGGAAGATGTAACTACTAGAAGGGTTCAGAAGACAACCCAGAGTAGGTAATCTCTCCCATAAATGGCATGTTCATTGAAACTTCAGTGGATTGCAGTTGTCTAGTCATAACAGCAGGATTAATAATTAAGTTCACAGGTGTGTGGGCAGTGACAACTATTTCACAACAAAGATTTTAAGATACCTTTGACTATAAAACACCTCATTTTCAGAAGTGCTAAAATGTGGGAAAATGTACACCATAAAATCGATGAGCTATGAAAACCACATGCACTACATGTTCTGATATTTATTTCAACACAGAACAGATGAAAACCTCATCAAAGACCAGCATTTGAAAACCACATCTTCTCACTACAATACTAGTAAAAAGTGTTTCTGAGAAGACTTATCAACTACAACAATCTCATTTAATTTTAAAAATAAATAAATAACATGGGGAAAGGGGGTGGGGGAGGGCAATGGGGGAAAAGGAGGACATATGTAATATTTTCAACAATAAAGATTTATAAAATATAAATAACATTTTAGCAGTTCATCTGAAATCCTTTCATTGATGCCCTTCTGTGACCACATACTTAAAATTAAAATGTATTGCTATGCTATTTACAAAGCTTACTATCTTATTTTTAGATACATCTCAAGGGATGCTGCTTGTTTTTATGTATCGATAATAGGGCTCCTCACTCAGAAAGGTATATGCCCTTGGGAAAAGAAGAGCACAAAAACTGTCACACTGAATCTGACCCAAAACCCATCTGGAGCAGCAGTGTTGCAGCAATCCCAAAACCCGTGCTGTGAAGAACACTGATTGTTCTCCTTGATATAAACCTCTAAGTTAGGCCAACTAGTTTATTTAAACACTGTAAGAGTTCATTTACATTTTTAGCTGAACTCTGTGGTTCAGAATACAATCCATTGGAACAATTAACCATCCAAAACGAGCAAACGTTAACACATACCAACCAACTAGAAATCCCTTAACACTTTTCTGCTCACTCATACACAGTTTCTCAAAATTGTTATATACTTAAAACCAATTCCATGGGCATTTCAACCTAAAAGTCCTGCAAAGTTGGAGGACCACAAGATACATCTCTCTCCAGGTCATTTACAAAATCGCAATCTGAAAATAGGTTTAGCATTAATCCCTTTAACAGTCTATTCATTTGGATTATCTGTTGCCACTCCTCTGTTTTTAAACAAATTCCTTATCAAATAATGCCATTAAATCCCTTGATAGTGTCTGGTTATAGTATCTAAAGATCAAGATACTGATTTTTGTGTGCCATTTTTTTCATTATTAAAAAAATTGTATGTCCGATATAGAAAAT